GATGGGAGACAGGTTCGTAGTCGTGAGTACGGGTGTCACCAGCCCCCAAACTCACCTCAGCACTGTGAAGTCTCAACTCAAAGCTGGAAGGGTTCACACCCAGGACACTGAGCCTTCCTCCGAGACATACTTATGAGTTTATACTTGACTAGCAAGCTTGGGAAAGGCAGCCTGGCCCTCCGGTGAGAGTATGGGGTCAGGGGAAATGGTTATAAAATGCGGCAAAGAATGCAGTTTGCCGGTGGTTCTTCCTGTTCACAGAAGTTATTTCTATAGCGTGCCCTTTTCTTTTCATCCTAACTCATTTCAGTTGGGAAAGCTTTTGTTCCTGTCTCAGTGATGGGATCTCACAGGAGGATCTTATCCTAAATTGCTGATTTGTGTTCACATCCATAACCTCCAGCTTCCTTCGTTTGTCTCCGAAAGGCTTTCCTGAAAGCAGACGTTAATACTGAGGTGAGCTGGCCAGTGACCAGTTAAAAGACCTTTCACACCTAGATGGGCTAGTAAGCCAGAGAAGGGCTGGACAAGCAGTCCCTGGAGCTTAGAAGCAGTTACAGCTACGGATCTCTCCAGGCTGCGGGAACCACAGCCAGGGTCTCCTAGGCAGCCCTCTAGACACGCAGCCAAGGCCACCCTGGCTCTGCGACGTCAGTGCGCCCATCACCGTGTCCCCCCGCGCTTTGGCTTTGCTAATAGCACTGGGGCTGGGCTGCCACCCTCAAGGCCATTGTGCAGATCCAACCCTCGCTGGATTTACCTCCAGACCCGCACTTGGAAGACCAGTAACTCTGAAGACAGAGAGTAAAGAGAGTATAACTGAAAACAAAAAACTTTTGCTCCAAATGCAACCTTTCTTGTATTTTTTTATAACCCATAAGATTGCCCAAATCATTCCTTTTACAGCCTGCTTAAAATATTATATTTCTAAAAAGATTTAAGGGAATACAGACAACATCATTTAGATTATGATCCCCTAAATTGTACTGCCTTGGCCCAAAATAATCTAGCTGGTCAATTTTAGATGCCATCAAAGAGGAGACACTGAATCATTGCCTTTGTATGGTCACCTCTAAAAGTAAGGAGGGGAGGGTCCCATATAGAGTAAGTTCAGCCTCTGCATCAGTTAGATGCCTGGCTTGTAAATAAAAAGCTCTTTTAGACTTCCAAGCTTCAGTCAGAGGAAAGCTGTATTCTATAGCTAGATATTACCCTAACATCACCAAGTCCTCCCACTAACTTCTGGTCAGGAGAAGGTGCGGACAGCAAAATGTGGGAGGTTCACCCAACACGTCCTCAAGCCTGGGAAGACAGAATTAACTGAGGAGTGACTGGGGAATCGTCTCTAAGTAGGGGTGGCATGTCTAGAACACAGCATTTGTGCATAGAAATTGTGTGTTATGTCTCACAGACGCAGTCAGGTCAGTTCCACCTCTAACTAGTACCTCATGAACAGCCATCACCACATCTCCTTTTATGGGCTGGCATTTCACACACCATTCATTTAATGTTAGATATTTTTAATTGAAGCAATGAAAAAAAAACAATTTTGCTGACGTCTGACTCAGAGAAAAAGAATGGAAAGCTAAGAATAAGACACAGCTCCAGCTGAAAGAAATCTGAATACCCTCCGTGCTTTTTCTTCTCCACCTTCATGTCTGAAACCAGGCTGAAAGCTCTCTGCTGTTCAATGAACCGAGTAGTACTATCGACTGCAATTGCTGTCCAGGTGATGTGAGTTCACAAGATAAAGACAAAAGCGGTCTGATTCACTGTTCCAGGAAAATGGGAGTGCTCATCTGGTTGAGAGGAGGAAGACATTAACAATTACATTCTAGAAAGTTCTATGGCCATGAACATCTATCTGTGATGTTCTTTTTAAAATTTATTTTTTATTGAAAGAAAGATTCTTTACATTCTATAGTGTACTGCAATTTTCAGAAGGTTCACCCAGATGATTTCATATAATCCCTTAATAACCCCTTTCCCCCTATACCCTTCAATTGCCCTTCCCTCCTCTTCTTTCCCCACAGGTAACCACTGGTTTGTTCTCTGTATCTTTGAGACTGCTTCTTTTCTGTTTTATTCACTAGTTGTATTTTTTAGATTCCACGTGTAAGTGATATCATACAGTATTTGTCTTTCTCTCTGATTTATTTCACTTAGCATAATACCCCCCAAGTTCATCCATGTTGCTGCAAATGGCAGAATTACATTCATTTTATGGCTGAGTAACATTCCATTGTGTTGGGGTGTGTATGTGTGTGTGTGTGTGTGTGTATATATATATATATATATATATATATATATATATATAA